AGAGCGCTTGCCTAGCATGCATGAAGCCCTGGGTTCCATTCCTCAGCACCACATACACAGAAAAAGCAGGAAGTAGTGCTGTGGCTCAAGTGGTAAAGCACTGGCCTTGAGCAAAAGAAGCTCAGGGACAGAGCCCAGGCTCTGCGTTTAAGCCCCAGGACTGGCAAAAAAAAAAAAGAAAAGAAAAGAAAAAGAAAAAGAAAAATGAAGCCAGGTACTGGTGGCTCACATCTATAATCCCAGCTACTCAGCAGGCTGAGATTTGAGGATCATGGTTCAAAACCAGCCTGGGCAAGGAAAGTCCTTGATACTCTTATCTCCAATTAACCACTAGAAAACCAGAAATGGTGCTCTGGCTCAAGTGGTAGAGCACTAGCCTTGATCTGAAGAACTCAGGGGTAGTACCCAGGCCTGAAGTTCAAGCCCCACGACCAACAACAACAACGGATGAGTAAATAAATGAGTAAATGAATGAATAAACAAACAAATGAGTCCAGAGAGGCTGAGTGGCTTGGCAGAGGACACACAGCTCAGGTACCTGGTTTGGCTGAGAATAAGGCTCGAGCAGGTCAGCTCCGGCCCTGGGCCTAAAACCTTTGTGCTGGGCAGGTGGCTCTGGTGACTGCCACAAAATCCCACATCAGGTTGTCACCAGCCCCAGCAGGGCAGTTCCCCGTGGGGGAGGCAGGCAGTGGATGGAGCAGCAGAGCAGCACCCAGGGCTGGTGGTCTGAGGGTGGACACCCCCCGCGCCTGCTCCCATGGTGCACTGGAAAGGCGGGGGGGGGGGACTGGTCTCGCCTGGGGTCCCAGGGGAGGGGCTCATCCTGGCTGTCCTGTGCAGGTCGGCCATGCCCCGCATCGGGGACGTGATCCAGAAACTGGCCCCGTTCCTGAAGATGTACAGTGAGTACGTGAAGAACTTCGGGCGGGCCGCAGAGCTGCTGGCCACCTGGACGGACAAATGCCCACCCTTCCAGGAGGTGATTGCCCGCATCCAGGTGAGGCCCTGGGGGGTGGCAGAGCCCCAGTGTATGCTGCCTCAGTTTCCCCAAGCCAGCTGGGGCATCTTCCGAGTGCCCACCCTTCACCCCGCCCCCTGTCCCTCCCCCTGGTCCCCCCTCCCCCGGCCCCCAGAGCAGCGAGGCCTCGAGCAGTCTGACGCTGCAGCACCACATGCTGGAGCCCGTGCAGAGGATTCCCCGCTACGAGCTGCTGCTCAAGGAATACGTCCAGAAGCTTCCAGCCCAGGCCCCAGACCAGGCCGATGCCCAGAGTGAGAATGCCCTTGGTGGGGGAGGGGAGGGGAGTTGCTTAGGAAGCTGAGCCACACCATGATTTAATTTATCACCTCTAGGGGCTGGGAAGGTGGCTCAGTGGTACAGTGCTTGCCTCGCATGCATGGGGCCCTGGGTTCGATTCCCTCTGTACCACATACACAGAACAAGCCAGAAGTGGCGCTGTGTCTCAAGTGGTAGAGCACTAGCCTTGAGCCAAAGAAGCTCAGGGACAGTGCCCAGGCCCTAAGTTCAAGCCCCAGGACTGACAAAAATTAAAAGCCAGGCACCAGTGGCTCACACCTGTAATCCTAGCTACTCAGGAGGCTGAGATCTGAGGATTGAGGTTCAAAGCCAGCCCAGGAAGGAAAGTCGATGAGACTTTTATCTCCAACTAACCACCAGAAAACCAGAAGTGGCTGTGGCTCAAGTGGTACAGCACTCACCTTGAGCTGAAGAGCTGAGGGACAGCGCCCTGGCCCCAGGACCAATACAAAATTAAAAAACAAAATAATTTACCACCTCCCCAAATGGCTGTGACGGCCGGCGGCCATTCCTGCCCCTGGCTAGTGCGCCCAAGAGCTCAGGCAGCGGCTCCGTCACCCAGCCCGGGAGCAGCAGACCCGGGATTTGAACCCCCGGGGGGAGCAGCGAGCGTCTGTGAAGCCACGTGCCTAGGGGCGGTGGCAGCAGGCCTGAGGCCGCCTGCCATGTCCCTGCGTCCCCTCGCCTAACTCTGGCCCTGCCCGCTTGCCAGAAGCCCTGGACCTGATCTTCTCGGCCGCCCAGCACTCGAACGCGGCCATCACGGAGATGGTGAGCGGCGCCTTCCTGGCCCCGGGGGCCACACGGCCGCCCTCCGTCACCCTGCCCGGGCTGGGCCATGCTGAGGCTGTCCCTCCCCAGGAGCGGCTGCAGGACCTGTGGGACGTGTACCAGCGCCTGGGCCTCGAGGCCAACCTCGTGGACCCCTCCAACACGCTGCTCCGAGAGGGCCCCGTCCTCAAGATCTCCTCCCGCCGCAGCGACCCCATGGAGCGCTACCTCTTCCTGGTAGGGGCTGGCCGGGCCTCTGTGGGGGGACAGGAGGGAACTACCTCTTGCTCCTTTGCTTGGACCACTTTGGGAGCGGCCTCCGGGATCGGGGACTGGCCCATGCCCCCTCCCTGGTTCCCTTCAGCTCCAAAGCCTGTGTGGGGTTAAATCTGTGCTTCAGAGCACGCACAGCAGGAGGGAATCAGGTCAGCTATCAGGAAGAACTGCCCAGGTTGATCCTGAAGAAGCCAGGGGTCTTCCTGAGATTGGCAAGGCCGTCCTGCCTGGAGGTCTACACCTCTGACGTGGCTGTGTGCTTTTTCTGAGGTCCACTTTGGTCCTTGGATGCCCGTAGGCGGGGTGACCCTTCAGCGCCCCTCTTATCAGGGGTGAGGGCTAGGCAGCCTCTTCCCGCCTCTTTCCCACCACCTGGGAAGCCCTGAAAGAAAAGTTCAGAATATGGGCAGAGAAGAAGGTGATGGTGGTGACCAGCCCCAGCCCAGACCTGGAGCCTCCAACCACCATCCCGGCTGCCACTGCTCCGCGCTCACGCCTGTGTCCCCTGCAGTTCAACAACATGCTGCTCTACTGTGTGCCCAGGGTCATCCAAGTGGGCGCACACTTCCAGGTGCGGACCCGCATCGACGTGGCTGGCATGAAGGTAAGGTCTGGCAGGGCTCCCCACACCCACCCCGGGGGAGAGGAGGTGGAAGCGGGTTCTCTGTGGGAGAGCCGGGCAATGGTGATGGAAAGGCCCCGGGCCACTCTGCCGTGCTCTGTGGGAGACAGAGGGCCCCGCACGGTGCTCCATAGGCCGTGCTGTGCTCCAGCCCGGGATCTGGTCGAGGCAGGTTTGACCTGCCGGTCTCGATGGAGCCAAGAGCTGCCTTTGAGTTTCCTTTGCTGTGTTAGGGCCTCACGCGTACCAGGCCAGTGCTCTACCACCTGAGCCACGCTCCCCAGCTCTGGCTTTTGGCTGTGCTCATTCGAAAATGAGAGCCTTACAGATTCATCTGCCCTGGCTGACACTGTACCTTAATTCTTAGCTCTCAGCCTCCTGAGTAGCTAAGACTACAGGTGTGAGCCACCAGAATGAGACTGTATGGCCCAGGCTGGCCTGGAACTCAAGATCCTCTTTTTTTTTTTTTTGCCAGTCTTGGGGCTTGAACTCAGTGGTTGATTGAGAATAAAGAGTCCCACAGACTTTCTTGCCCAGACTGGCTCTGAGCTGTGATCCTCAGCTCTCAGCCTCCTGAGTTGCTAGGATGACAGGCATGAGCCACCAGTACCTGGTTTTGAGATTCTCTTGCTGAAGCCTCCTGAGATCTGGGATTACACGCATGCCCAGCCACGCTGGTTACCCCCATTCTCCATGTGAGGCCCTTGGCTGTGGGTCTTCACACTCGGATGATTTGTGGTGTGAATGAAGGTGTGCTTTGCTTTTGTGGTTTGTTTTTTTTTTTTGTCAGTCATGGGCCTGATCTCTGGGCCTGGGCACTGTCCCTCAGCTCTTCAGCTCAAAGCTAGCACTCTACCACTTGAGCCACAGCACCACTTCCGGTTTTTCTGCTTATGTGGTGCTTAGGAATTGAACCCAGGGCCTCATGCATGCAAGGCAAGCGCTCTACCACTGAGCCACCTTCCCAGCCCCTGTGCTTTTGCTTTTTAACACCCATCCTGGAGCTGTTCCGCTGGGTACAGCACGACCTAGCACACTGTGGGGGGCTGCGACGCTGGGGGCCACACACAGGCTGTGCTCAGCCCACCCATCTGCCATCGCTCTGTCTTGCCTGTCTGTCATCTATACATTTCATCTATCCGGGTATCGTCAGACCAAGGCAGGGCGGAGATGGAGGCCTAGATCAGGCAGAGAGGGACAGATGTAGAGAAAGGAAGCCCCAGAGCGGGTCTCTCCTCAGCCAGCGGTCACCCAGCGCCCTCTTCTGGACAGCGCAGACATGACAGAGCTGGTGTCTGTGTAGCCATTCCTGCTGGGCAAGTCTGGGGACTTGTCTTAGCCTAAGGGACAACAGCCTGTTGTGGGAATCTTTCTGTTGCCTTTTAAGTGCTGAGTGACCTCCAACCGCTCTCTAGCCTTCTGTGAGGCTCCCCGGCCTCCTTCCCCTAAAGATGTTCCCATCTGCCTTTCGCTCTTTTATGTTGTTGTTTGTTTTAGAGACAGTTTTTTTTTTTTTTTTTTGCTATATAGTACAGGCTGGTCTCAGATGTGGGATTCTCCTGCTCAGCCTCCTGAGTGCTGGGTTACAGACTTTTTCCTGCTTATGTGGAATCGAACCCAAGGCCTCATGCACGCAAGGCAAGCGCTCTACCACTGAGCCACCTTCCCAGCCCCTTATGGACATTTTTTTTTAATTTTGGTCAGTTGAGGGACTTGAACTCTGGGCTTGGGCGCTGTCCCTCAGCTCTGCAGCTCAAGGCGAGCACTCTACTGCTTGAGTCACTGCACCACTTCCAGTTTTCTAGTGGTTTATTGGAGATAAGAGTCTCAGCCTTTCCTGCCTGTGCTGGCTTTAAACTCCAATCCTCAGATCTCAGCTCCTGAGTAGCTAGGATTATAGGCATGAGCCACCTTCCCAGCCCCTTATGGACTTTTTTTTTTTTTTTTTTTTTATCATGGAGCTTGAACTCTGGGCCTGGGTGCTGTCCCTCAGCTCTTCAGCTCAAGGCTAGCACTCTACCACTCAGCCACTTCCAGTTTTCTGGTGGTTTATTGGAGATAAGAGTCTCACAGACTTTACTGCCCAGGCTGGCTTTGAACTGTGATCCTCAGATCTCAGCCTCCTGAGTAGCTAGGATTACAGGCGTGAGCCACCGGTGTCTGGCTTTTTATGGACATTTTTAACTTAAGAAAATAATACAACAAACCGAATACACTAATTTAGTCTAATTTACAGATCAACTTCTACTGTTTTCCAATTTCCAGTTTGCTTTTTCTGCGCACTGGTCCTAGGGCTTGAACTTGGGGCCTGGGTGGTCTCCTTGAGCTTTTGTGCTCAAGGCTAGCACTCTACCACTTGAGCCACAGCTCCATTTTTGGCTTTTTGGTGGTTAACTGGAGGTAAGAGTCTCACGGAATTTCCAGCCTAGGCTGGCTTGGAACCTCGATCCTCGGATCTCCATCTCCCAAGAGGCTAAGATTACAGGCATGAGGCGCTGGGCTTTCCAGTGACCCCTTTTGCCAGGGGCCGGCTGTCCACTCACCCTGGGCTGGCCCAGCTACAGGACTGGGAAGTGGAGGGCAAGCTTCGCGCTGCCCCTGGAGTGAGGGTCGCCCCTGTAGGGGCCATGTGCCCGGCCCCATGCGCTGTGTGGCAGGGCAGGGCAGGGCGGGGCAGGGCAGGGCAGGGCAGGGCGGGCTCAGCCAGGACCTCTCTCCTCCTGTGTCAGGTGCGGGAGCTGAGCGATGCGGAGTTCCCTCACTCCTTCCTGGTGTCCGGGAAGCAGCGCACGCTGGAGCTGCAGGCCAGGTGGGCCCAAGGCCG